ATCCCCACATTCATCTAGACTTCACCACCCACTCCAAGCCTACACCGTCGGGATTTAATAATTGAATGTATATTTACAAAATTAATTTGAAATTATTGATATCACATCACTAAAAGTATAAATAAAAATATGTTAAGTAGAATTAAAATAATTGACTTAAAAAGTTTGTAAAGTTTAATTAAATCAATTATTGATATCACACTACCTAAAATAAAATTAAAGAATCTTATAACGGATGATAAAAAATTTTACTAAAAGAAAATCAAAAAATGTAAACAAGAACAGTTAAAAAATTCATATTATGTAAGCAAAATTATTTTTTACAGAAAAATCATACTATTTCATTTAAATACAAACCTTTTTATATAAATTGAACAAAAAAAATAAAAACGAAAACAAAATAGAAATAAATTCCTGAGGTAATCTAATATTCAAACAGTGCTATCTGGCGTGCCACGTGAGGAGATAAACTTGTATGCAGGGCGAATTACTCCACACGCTGGAATGCAACCTCAGAATCTCCCTCGCCTTCTTCTTCAGATGCGCCGAGCAGTCCGCCTGCAGAACCATACACAGCTTCGTCACCCCGCCTACCCTCATCATCTCCGCCACCACCTCCGGCGCCGCTGCGAACCTCGCCACGGCGTCCACCACGCATAGGATCCGGTCGTCCGCCGCCGGAGACACCCGCAGCAGCCGCTTCGCCGCCAGCGCGACGCTGCCGGCGTGCCCCAGAAGCTGCTGCCGCCCGTCCGCGCACGAGCACAGCTGCGCCAGCAGGCAGAACACCAGCTCCGTCGTCCTCTTATCCGCCGGCCCCGCCAGCTCCATCTCCACCAGCTCCACCACGGCCCCGGCCTCCACAATCTTCGCCCGATTCCTCCCCGCCGCCGCCGCCGCCACCAGGATCTTCAAGGCCGACCTCGCCGCCGCCGGGGAAACTCCCCCTCTCAAGACCTTCACGATCCCGGCGAAGAACGAGGGCTCCAGCCTCTCTAAATGGACAGATCCGGCCATGACCTCGGTGAATTTTTTCAAAATCGATAGCGCGAGGGTCTTTCCCGCGCAATCCTGTCTGGAATTGAGGATCCACAGAACCGAATTGACGAAATTGTTGGGGTAGATTTCTTCTAGAACCCTAACGTTCTCTGCTGACGGGGTCCACGTCAGCTGGAGGACCCTCAGGGCCCGATCGAGGCCCTCGGTACTCCCGACGTCACCGGAGCATCTCGCCAGAATGAAAAGGAAAATCGCCTTGGCCACGCCGGCCTCCGCCATTAACTTCCTGTTCCTCTCGCTCTCGCCGGCGAGCTCTTCCATCCTTTTCAGAGCGGCTATCGCGCGATTGCAGCCGTTTTTCAGGTCTCGAACGAGCTTCAGCACCGTGGATCTGTGGAGAGGGGATTTTGGGGTTGGGATTTGGTCGATTCCTTTCTTCGCATTGGAGACGCACCAAGCCTGGATCAGCCTCCGAAGCATGTGGTTCGGAGTCATGTCCGAGGCTTGGGGTAGAGGCTGTTTGGTGACCGGGCACAGGACGGTGGCTCCAGACGACGACGTTTTGGCCCACTTCTCGATGGAGTCCCGGTCGTAGGTGATGCCCGTGACGGTAGTCACCGGGTCCTTCATAATCTGGAGCGAGATTGGGCACAGAAAATACTGAGGTACTTCGATTTCGTCCATATTATTAATTTTCTCTGCAAATTATTAAAAATGATTAGCTTTATAGTCTTGAGAAGGAAATTTATATTAGAAAGATGGTAAGAAAATGCGGCTGGTGGGTTCTACGAATGTATGACCGGCTGCTGTAGCAGGTTTTAAGTGTCGATGGAGTCAAAATTGAGGCTGGTGATAAATTCGCTGGTCCAACTTGTTTTACCGGTCAGCTGAATAAAAGGGGTTCGGCGGTCAATCCAGGAGAAGCAGTATAACCACGTAAACGTGACTTTTCAAACAGTGACAAGTGGCGGTCAGTGTGTGGCTGTTTGTAGGTTCATTAGCCAATGGGAAAGAGTTTGGGTTGGGAGGAGTTTCGCTTTTCGTTCAAAGGAGAGGAAAATGAAGCAAAAAAGACGTGTGGGGATAATGATTGGGGAAATCATTAATTATTTATTTAAAACTTAGTTATGAGATTTGGTGATGTTATTGCGATGAAGATATAAAGAAGATACTAACTGAAGTGATTAGTGTGAATGATTGATAAAGTACAAGTGTACAGTTGAGTGAAAACAGAAATTTGTTTGAAANCCCGAAAGAAAGAAGAAAAAAAAACGACTGCATAGAGTCAGTCCAAAGGAAGGAGTCCATCGCCCCTAAAGTCCATTTAGATAGCTTATGAGCAATCACATTATTTGCTCTAGCAATATGACTACAAACACCATAATTCAAGGATGATAAAAGATTGATAATGTCTTCGAAAACATGAACGTGTCATTTGGAAAGCGGTCAGTAATTTCACAAATGACTGAAAGAGCATCACTCGCAGCAGTTTGGATCATGAACCGAGAATCCATAGTAAAACGAAGTCCGAGCCATAAAACTATAGCTTCAGCAACTGCCGCGGAAAAGGATCCGGATTGTTGAGATGCAAAAGCGGCCCAACGCACTCCTTCTGAGTAACAGATCCACCCTCCGAAGCCAATCGACGGCTCACATATAACTGCATCACAAAAAAGGGTGAATCCATTTTGCCAAAGACCAGGCCCAAGCCAAGAATCGATCGTCCCCAGGGTCACTGGTCGGTGTGGAGGGACCGCGCATGAGTTCATGAGACTCATCTCCTCAAGCCACCCCCGTTCAAATGCCCAAACTTGTTCGACACTTCTTCCTACCAGACCATGTCGTAGTTGATTCTCTCTTGCCAAATAAGCTATAAACGAGTGGCAAACATTGGGAACTCATCTTCCCAACTTTCATCAAGAATTTCAGTGAAGATCGAAATAAAGCCCATGTCGCGTTGGGCCACTAATATGTCCCACCAGCCAGTCAATTCCCATAGACTCTTAACCCATTTGCAATCAAAGAAGACATGGACATTCGATTCCCAACCCGCATTTGTGGCATTTTATTTCCACATTTATGTGACGCCGAGCCAAATTCTCAGAAGAGGTAAATGCTTGATTGATCAGTTTCCATAAAAAAAAATTAACTTTCGGACCAATATTTATTTTCATAGAGCTTTCCACCACCTCGTATTGCAATTCAAACAAGATTCTCGGGAGTCATCAGGGAGGGATTCAATAAGCGGTAGCCACTCTTCACCGTATAAGAATCACTTTTTGAATGGTGCCAAATTAATCGATCCGCATAGTGTCTAAGACTCAAAGGGATAGAGAGAATCTTCTGAGCACAATGGGTGAAAAAATGTTAATAATCAAATTCATATTCCAAGATCCGCTTACCTCGATGAGATCCTTCACTCGATCTATACCAGCTACCCGTATGGAAAAGTGATGAAAATAACAAAAATGGGGTATCCAGGGATCGGAGTAGAATTTGATTTGTGACCCGTCCCCCACTCTCCATCTCAATCCCGCTTTAATTACCTCACGTCCCCATAAGATAATTTTCCAGATGAAAGAAGAATCCACACGGATCAGAGCGTCAAGAAAATGGTCAGAAGGAAAATACTTAGCCTTGAGCACCTGAGATACCAGAGACTCAGGTGAATAAAGCACTCCTCATGCTTGTTTTCCCAGCATTGTTTTCTTAAAAAAATGAAAGTCCCTGAAACCCAGCCCCCCTTCTTTCTATGACTTCGTCAGATGGATCCATTTAACCCAAGATAATTTTCGGTTGTCGAAACAAGAACCCTACCAAAATTGAGCGACAATTTGTCTGATTTGGTTACAAAGGCCAATAGGGAGTCGAAAGAGGCTCATAAAGTAGACAATGATCAATTGTACAACAATGTTAATGAAGAATTCCTGTCCAACCGAGGAAAAAAGATTTCGATTCCAGCTCTGGAGACGTTTCCAAATTTTTTCACGGATAGAACCAAAAGCTTGAGCTTTGTCTCTACTAATCATAGAAGGAAGACCAAGATATGTACCATGAAAAACCGGATATTGAATGCCGAAAAGTGACCAGATTACCTGTCTTAAGTCATGAGGTGTGTTCGGGGAGAAGGTAAGAGTCGTTTTATCCAAATTGAATTTTTGTCCTGATGTTAGCTCATAAAGATGAAGAATATTGACGATATATGAAGTCACAGTTGGATTACCCTTTGAAAAATAATGGAATCGTCGTGCTACATTTCAAACCCTCCAGAGCACCATCCATTTAAGCTTTTCTCAAAGCTGCCGAAAATGCCTCTGCGCAGAGAATGAACAAATACGAAGATAAAAGGCATCCTGACGTAATCCATGAGCAGGTTGTATGTGCCCTACATTTTGGCCATTGATGAAGTGAGGGAAAACCCCTTTCGAAAAACAAAGCATCCACATAATCGCATTCAACTCGATCATAAGCTTTGCTCACATCGAGTTTAATAGCCATCCAACGGGAATTCCCTTGGCACTCTTAGACAAAGAGTGAAGGAGNNGAAACGATAGGGATATTATATCAATAACCAAACAAATCGAGTATAAAGGGAACGAACCAACTCACCAAACAAATCTATAACTGAGAGGACACGCCCACGGCGGCCTAGAACAACCACAAACTACTCATAGCTAAGATAGAGTCAATCCGAAAACCTTAGTCTACCCAACATCCAACTAGTTACCCCTATCGACTCAACACAACTAAAACCAAGCAAACAAAAACATTGAAAAAAACCTAACAGCTGAACCATCAAATGTCTTAACACAACAAAATAAACAAACCCACAGAAAACCTAAAAAAAACATGCAACACCCAGAAATCCAAATCTAAACGACAAACAAAACAGCCCTTCAAGAACCTCCCAACAACCACACAAACAACTATAGTAGCCGAGCTCCAGCAAATTCCCTCCATTCATGAAGTGCACCATGTATGATCATATATTCTGCCATCCTCTCCTGCTGAAAAAGTCACATATTGCGTGTTTTCCATAACCACCATAAGAGGTGGGTGGTTAACTGAATTCTATCTTCAGAAATGGCAGACCTATCTAATGAGCATATGTGATTCCACCAATCCTTAAAATGATAATCCTCTGTCATGCTTTAGTCCCACTGCACCGGGCCCATTTCCCAAACTCTCTTTGCCCTTGAGCATTGGAAAAACACATGTTCTACTGATCCTACCCCATCTCCACAGATCTGACATATCCAATCCACTTCCATAACCCTCTTCCTCAAATTCAACTTGACAGGTAGACTTCCATTGCAGCATTTCCATATGAAATGCTTAACGTTCGCTTTGACTTTGAGCTTCCACAACCTAAGCCTTGCCTTCTGTTCCTGACAGTTGCCTCTGCTACTTTCAGGGATATCCATTGCCTGTAGTTTGAGATTAATCAAATGAGCATAAGATGTTGCCACTGAAAATTTGCCATTCCTGTTCATGGTCCACTTCCACTGATTCTCAAAGTTAGGATTTAAAGAGCTAATTTGAAGTATGGCACCACTGTCACTTTCATAAAAAACCTAGTTAATAAGCCACTCATTCCATCTACTACCATCAGTACTCATTAGGTCCCTATCAGATGCCCCTTAAATATCTCCATAAGATCTGGCTTTTGTTTAGCTAGAGCTGGAAACCAATTCACATCCTCTATTTTGGTTTTCAACTCATTTCTGATCTCCACTTTCAACCCTTTGCTGAACAATGGTAAGATATCCACCCAACTCCTCTACAACCATGAGGCATTCTGCTTCTTCTCTGCTTCCAATATTGACGTATTGGGGAAATACTTTCTTTTCAAAACTCTACTAACCAACAGATCAGATTGTGTGGTGATTCTCCATAATTGTTTGTATATCAAAGCCTCATTGAAAAGTTGAATGTCCTAAAAACCTAACCCCGTCAGGATGTTGCATCACGGACGCAAAAGTAGGAATTTGCGTCCGCAGTTTGCGGCTCTGGTTGATGGCGGCACGATGTCTCCTCGCCGTCGCGGTGGCGTGTTCGGCTTTCAGATTGGTGGGTTGACTCGTTTTGACCAGACGAAGTCATTTTCAGCAGGTTTTTGTGAGACAAGTTAAGAAAAAGATAAAGTTCGAGGTGGTGTTCCACAAAGTCGAAAAATTGACACCAAACAAATTATGGTGCCCTCCTTCTAGCACCAAACTGTTGACAATCGGAATCGGTCAACGATTAATAAAAGATTTGAATGTGATAAAACGAATAAAGAAAAAGGGATTTATGAAGTAAATGGGCTTTTATTACTTAATCACTAGGTCGGCCTCTAAGGTTGAGGTCGACTCTTTTCTTACAGTTGGGATAATCACAAAAATTTACTACAAAGCAGAGAGTTAATGTGGACAGAGGATTAGTGGTGGAGGAATCAATAACCTTTAATAAATGAGGGTAAAATTCTATTTATAGTAGCCACAATCTGGCACTGTTTAGGTACTGTTCATCCTGTCTCGTCGCACAGTAATTCGGAATGACAGGTCAGCGCCGCTCTGACAAGCATTAAATGAGGTCTGAAGTGTTTTCAATGATTACATGCCAAGCATTAAATGCACACATGTGGGACATTTAATGCTGGCAGGCCATCCTACTGATCTAGTTGCCCTAGGGTGACTGACTAG